GTCATGTGTAGTGTAAGTCTGATGTACCAGATGTCATGTGTAGTGTAGGTCTGATGTGCCAGATGTCATGTGTAGTGTAGGTCTGATGTGCCAGATGTCATGTGTAGTGTAGGTCTGATGTGCCAGATGTCATGTGTAGTGTATGTCTGATGTGTCAGATGCCATGTGTAGTGTAGATCTGATGTGTCAGATGTCATGTGTAGTGTAGGTCTGATGTGCCAGATGTCATGTGTAGTGTAGGTCTGATGTGCCAGATGTCATATGTAGTATAGGTCTGATGTGCCAGATGTCATGTGTAGTTGAGGTCTGATGTGTCAGATGTCATGTGTAGTGTAGGTCTGATGTACCAGATGTCATGTGTAGTGTAGGTCTGATGTGTCAGATGTCATGTGTAGTGTAGGTCTGATGTGTCAGATGTCATGTGTAGTGCAGGTCTGATGTACCAGATGTCATGTGTAGTGTAGGTCTGATGTACCGGATGCCATGTGTAGTGTAGGTCTGATGTGTCAGATGTCATCTGTAGTGTAGGTCTGATGTGTCAGATGTCATATGTAGTGTAGGTCTGATGTGTCAGATGTCATCTGTAGTGTAGGTCTGATATGCCAGATGTCATATGTAGTGTAGGTCTGATGTACCAGATGTCATGTGTAGTGTAGGTCTGATATGCCAGGTGTCATGTGTAGTGTAGGTCTGATGTGCCAGATATCATGTGTAGTGTAGGTCTGATGTGCCAGATGTCATGTGTAGTGTAGGTCTGATGTGCCAGATGTCATGTGTAGTGTAGAACTGATGTGTCAGATGTCATGTGTAGTGTAAGTCTGATGTACCAGATGTCATGTGTAGTGTAGGTCTGATGTGTCAGATGTCATGTGTAGTGTAGGTCTGATGTGCCAGGTGTCATGTGTAGTGTAGAACTGATGTGTCAGATGTCATGTGTAGTGTAGGTCTGATGTACCAGATGTCATGTGTAGTGTAGGTCTGATGTGCCAGATGTCTTGTGTAGTGTAGGTCTGATGTGTCAGATGTCATGTGTAGTGTAGGTCTGATGTGCCAGATGTCATGTGTAGTGTAGGTCTGATGTACCAGATGTCATGTGTAGTGTAGGTCTGATGTGCCAGATGTCATGTGTAGTGTAGGTCTGATGTACCAGATGCCATGTGTAGTGTAGGTCTGATGTGCCAGATGCCATGTGTAGTGTAGGTCTGATGTACCAGATGTCATATGTAGTGTAGGTCTGATGTACCAGATGCCATGTGTAGTGTAGGTCTGATGTACCAGATGTCATGTGTAGTGTAGGTCTGATGTGCCAGATGTCATGTGTAGTGTAGGTCTGATGTACCAGATGTCATGTGTAGTGTAGGTCTGATGTACCAGATGTCATGTGTAGTGTAAGTCTGATGTACCAGATGTCATGTGTAGTGTAGGTCTGATGTGCCAGATGTCATGTGTAGTGTAGGTCTGATGTGCCAGATGTCATGTGTAGTGCAGGTCTGATGTACCAGATGTCATGTGTAGTGTAGGTCTGATGTGTCAGATGTCATGTGTAGTGTAGGTCTGATGTGTCAGATGTCATGTGTAGTGCAGGTCTGATGTACCAGATGTCATGTGTAGTGTAGGTCTGATGTACCGGATGCCATGTGTAGTGTAGGTCTGATGTGTCAGATGTCATCTGTAGTGTAGGTCTGATATGCCAGATGTCATGTGTAGTGTAGGCCTGATGTGTCAGATGTTATGTGTAGTGTAGGCCTGATGTGCCAGATGTCATGTGTAGTGTAGGTCTGATATGCCAGATGTCATGTGTAGTGTAGGCCTGATGTGTCAGATGTCATCTGTAGTGTAGGTCTGATGTGTCAGATGTCATCTGTAGTGTAGGTCTGATGTGTCAGATGTCATCTGTAGTGTAGGTCTGATGTGTCAGATGTCATATGTAGTGTAGGTCTGATGTGTCAGATGTCATCTGTAGTGTAGGTCTGATATGCCAGATGTCATATGTAGTGTAGGTCTGATGTACCAGATGTCATGTGTAGTGTAGGTCTGATATGCCAGGTGTCATGTGTAGTGTAGGTCTGATGTGCCAGATGTCATGTGTAGTGTAGGTATGATGTGCCAGATGCCATGTGTAGTGTAGGTCTGATGTGTCAGATGTCATGTGTACTGTAGGTCTGATGTGCAAGATGTCATGTGTAGTGTAGGTCTGATATGCCAGATGTCATGTGTAGTGTAGGTCTGATGTGCAAGATGTCATGTGTAGTGTAGGTATGATGTGCCAGATGTCATGTGTAGTGTAGGTCTGATGTGCAAGATGTCATGTGTAGTGTAGGTATGATGTGCCAGATGTCTTATGTAGTGTAAGTCTGATGTGCCAGATGTCATGTGTAGTTTAGGCCTGATGTGCCGGATGTCATGTGTAGTGTAGGTCTGATGTGCCACATGTCATGTGTAGTTGAGGTCTGATGTGCCAGATGTCATGTGTAGTGTGAGTCTGATGTGTTTGATGTCTTGTGTAGTGTAGGTCTGATGTGTCAGATGTCATAAATAGTGTAGGTCTGATGTACCAGATGTCATGTGTAGTGTGAGTCTGATGTGTTTGATGTCATGTGTAGTGTAGGTCTGATGTGTCAGATGTCATAAATAGTGTAGGTCTGATGTACCAGATGTCATGTGTAGTGTAGGCCTGATGTGTCAGATGTCATATGTAGTGTAGGTCTGATGTGCCAGATGTCATGTGTAGTGTGAGTCTGATGTGTTTGATGTCATGTGTAGTGTAGGTCTGATGTGTCAGATGTCATAAATAGTGTAGGTCTGATGTACCAGATGTCATGTGTAGTGTAGGCCTGATGTGTCAGATGTCATATGTAGTGTAGGTCTGATGTGTCAGATGTCATATGTAGTGTAGGTCTGATGTGCCAGATGTCATGTGTAGTGTATGTGTGATGTGCCAGATGTCATGTGTAGTGTAGGTCTGATGTGCCAGATGTCATGTGTAGTTTAGGCCTGATGTGCCAGATGTCATGTGTAGTGTAGATCTGATGTGCCAGATGTCATGTGCAGTTGAGGTCTGATGTGCCAGATGTCATGTGTAGTGTAGGCCTGATGTGCCAGATGTTATGTGTAGTTTAGGCCTGATGTGCCAGATGTCATGTGTAGTTGAGGTCTGATGTACCAGATGTCATGTGTAGTGTAGGTCTGATGTACCAGATGTCATGTGTAGTGTAGGTCTGATGTGCCAGATGCCATGTGTAGTGTAGGTATGATGTGCCAGATGTCATGTGTAGTGTAGGCCTGATGTGCCAGATGTCATGTGTAGTTGAGGTCTGATGTGCCAGATGTCATGTGTAGTTGAGGTCTGATGTGCCAGATGTCATGTGTAGTGTAGGCCTGATGTGCCAGATGTCATGTGTAGTGTAGATCTGATGTGCCAGATGTCATGTGTAGTGTATGAACTGGGACTGGAAACAACAGTATCTATGTAGTGTATCAACTAGGTGTACAACCTGGTCAAGGTTTCTGTAGGCCTGTAGTGTGGTGCACTGGTAACAACAATATTTATATAGTGTATCAACTAGGTGTATAACCTGGTAAAGGTTTCTTTAGGCCTGTAGTGTGGTGAAATTTGGAACAACAGTATCTATGTAGTGTATCAACTAGGTGTATAACCTGGTAAAGGTTTCAGTAGGCCGGTAGTGTGGTGAACTGGGAGCGAGCGTACCTATGTAGTGTATCAACTAGGTGTATAACCTGGTAAAGGTTTCAGTAGGCCGGTAGTGTGGTGAACTGGGCGCAACAGTATCTATGTAGTGTATGGACTAGATGTATAACCTGGTAAAGGTTTCAGTAGGCCGGTAGTGTGGTGAACTGGGAGCAAGAGTACCTATGTAGTGTATCATCTAGGTGTATAACCTGGTAAAGGTTTCAGTAGGCCGGTAGTGTGGTGAACTAGGAGCAAGAGTACCTATGTAGTGTATCAACTAGGTGTATAACCTGGTAAAGGTTTCAGTAGGCCGGTAGTTTGGTGAACTGGGAGCAACAGTCTCTATGTAGTGTATCAAGTAGGTGTATAACCTGGTAAAGGTTTCTGTGGGCCTGTAGTGTGGTGCACTGGGAGCAACAGTCTCTATGTAGTGTATCAACTAGGTGTATAACCTGGTGAAGGTTTCAGTAGGCCGGTAGTGTGGTGTACTGGGAGCAACAGTATCTATGTCGTGTATCAAGTAGGTGTATAACCTGGTAAAGGTTTCAGTAGGCCGGTAGTTTGGTGAACTGGGAGCAAGAGTATCTATGTAGTGTATCAAGTAGGTGTATAACCTGGTAAAGGTTTCAGTAGGCCGGTAGTTTGGTGAACTGGGAGCAACAGTCTCTATGTAGTGTATCAAGTAGGTGTATAACCTGGTAAAGGTTTCTTTAGGCCTGTAGTGTGGTGCACTGGGAGCAACAGTATCTATGTAGTGTATCAACTAGGTGTATAACCTTGTAAAGGTTTCTGTTGGCCTGTAGTGTTGTGTACTGCGTGCAACAGTCTCTATGTAGTGTATCAGCTAGGTGTATAACCTGGTAAAGGTTTCAGTAGGCCGGTAGTGTGGTGTACTGGGAGCAACAGTATCTATGTAGTGTATCAACTAGGTGTATAACCTTGTAAAGGTTTCTGTTGGCCTGTAGTGTTGTGTACTGCGTGCAACAGTCTCTATGTAGTGTATCAGCTAGGTGTATAACCTGGTAAAGGTTTCAGTAGGCCGGTAGTGTGGTGTACTGGGAGAAACAGTATCTATGTAGTGTATCAGCTAGGTGTCTAACCTGGTAAAGGTATCAGTAGGCCTGTAGTTTGGTGTACTGGGAGCAACAGTATCTATGTAGTGTATCAGCTAGGTGTATAACCTGGTAAAGGTTTCTTTAGGCCTGTAGTGTGGTGAAATTTGGAACAACAGTATCTATGTAATGTATCAGCTAGGTGTATAACCTGGTAAAGGTTTCTTTAGGCCTGTAGTGTGGTGAAATTTGGAACAACAGTATCTATGTAATGTATCGGCTAGGTGTATACCCTGGTAAAGGTTCCAGTAGGCCTGTAGTGTGGTGAACTCGGAGCAAGAGTATCTAGTTGCATGTTGCCGAGGGTGCTAAAGTGCAAATCTTTTTTATATCATCAAATTCTGTTGTTGGCCCACACGACAACTCCGACAGACCAATGAAACTGCAGACGACGTACTTGCTGCAGGACGAGCAGGAGTGGTAATACCCGGTCAGGCCCTTACAGTCACTCACACAGGCATCTGAAACACAGTCATGTCTACATGTAGTGTACAGTCACTCACACAGGCATCTGAAACACAGTGTTATCTACAATTAAAGCTAAACCGGATAGAATTATCATTAAACCGCCCGCACGTTATCATAAATGAGCGGGCCACTGTAATTTGATAATGCCTTCATATTGCATGACGACGGGCCATTATCAAGCCCGTTGTTAGGTGACGTCATAGGGTAGAGAAAGTGACGTCACGTATTAAAGTGACGTCATCTGATTTGTTCTATGACGTTTCCATATTTGTAAAAGTGGGTCAGTGACATTCGTGTTGATTGCAGTAAATGTTTCAAAACCGATATTGTTGTTTCTTTTTATTTGATAAATTCCATCCATTTTAGCTATAATAACGGTAACGCTCTTTTTCAGGGCATTATCATTTGCAGAAGCCCTTGGTCTTTTCAACTGCCCTCCTTCGTCGGGCAGTTAATGGAAGACCTCGGACTTCTGCAAATGATAATGCCCTTTAAAAAGAGCGTTACCCTTATAGTAGTGTACAGTCACTCACACAGGCATCTGAAACACAGTGTACTCTACATGTAGTGTACAGTAACTCACACAGGCATCTGAAACACAGTGTTATCTACAAGTAGTGTACAGTTACTAACACAGGCATCTGAAACACAGTTTACTCTACATGTAGTGTACAGTAACTCACACAGGCATCTGAAACACAGTGTTATCTACAAGTAGTGTACAGTCACTCACACAGGCATCTGAAACACAGTGTTCTCTACATGTAGTGTACAGTCACTCACAATGGCATCTGAAACACAGTGTTCTCTACATGTAGTGTACAGTCACTCACACAGGCATCTGAAACACAGTGTTATCTACATGTAGTGCACAGTCACTCACACAGGCATCTGAAACACAGTGTTATCTACATGTAGTGTACAGTCACTAACACAGGCATCTGAAACACAGTGTTCTCTACATGTAGTGTACAGTCACTCACACAGGCATCTGAAACACAGTGTTATCTACATGTAGTGTACAGTTACTCACACAGGCATCTGAAACACAGTGTTCTCTAAATATAATCTACAGTCACTCACACAGGCACCTGAAACACAGTGTTATCTACATATAGTGTACAGTCACTCACACAGGCATCTGAAACACAGTGTTATCTACATGTAGTGTACAGTAACTCACAGAAGCATCTGAAACACAGTGTTATCTACATGTAGTGTACAGTTACTCACACAGGCATCTGAAACACTGTGTTATCTACATGTAGTGTACAGTCACTAACACAGGCATCTGAAACACAGTGTTCTCTACATGCAGTGTACAGTCACTCACACAGGCATCTGAAACACAGTGTTTTCTACATGTAGTGTACAGTTACTCACACAGGCATCTGAAACACAGTGTTCTCTACATGCAGTGTACAGTCACTCACACAGGCATCTGAAACACAGTGTACTCTACATGTAGTGTACAGACACTCACACAGGCATCTCAAACACAGTGTACTCTACATGTAGTGTACAGTCACTCACACAGGCATCTGAAACACATTGTACTCTACATGTAGTGTACAATCTCTCACACGGGCATCTGAAACACAGTGTTCTCTACATGTAGTGTACAGTCACTAACAAAGGCATCTGAAACACAGTGTTATCTACATGTAGTGTACAGTTACTCACACAGGCATCTGAAACACAGTGTTATCTATATGAACTGTACAGTTACTATCTGAAACACAGTGTTCTCTACATGTAGTGTATAGTCACTCACACAGGCATCTGAAACACAGTGTTCTCTACATGTAGTGTACAGTTACTCACACAGGCATCTGAAACACAGTGTTATCTACGAGTAGTATACAGTCACTCACACAGGCATCTGAAACACAGTGTTATCTACATGTAGTGTAAAGTCACTCACACAGGCATCTGAAACACAGTGTTATCTACATGTAGTGTAAAGTCACTCACACAGGCATCTGAAACACAATGTTCTCTACATGTAGTGTACAGTCACTCACACAGCTATCTGAAACACAGTGTTCTCTACATGTAGTGTACAGTCACTCACACAGGCATCTGAAACACAGTGTTCTCTACATGTAGTGTACAGTCACTCACACAGGCATCTAAAACACAGTGTTCTCTACATGTAGTGTATAGTCACTCACACAGGCATCTGAAACACAGTGTTCTCTACATGTAGTGTACAGTTACTCACACAGGCATCTGAAACACAGTGTTATCTACAAGTAGTGTACAGTCACTCACACAGGCATCTGAAACACAGTGTTCTCAACATGTAGTGTACAGTCACTCACACAGGCATCTGAAACACATTGTTCTCTACATGTAGTGTACAGTCACTCACACAGGCATCTGAAACAGAGTGCTCTCAACATGACGTGTACAATCACTCACAGAGGCATCTGAAACACAGTGTTCTCTACATGTAGTGTACAGTCACTCACACAGGCATCTGAAACACAGTGTTCTCTACATGTAGTGTACAGTTACTCACACAGGCATCTAAAAAACAACTCTGCACAGCGAATTGCGGCGCCTTAGACGACTGGGCCACCCGTGCCCCCGAACGTATATATTCACTTTATATATAGAGCATTGGAAATAATACATACGTTTGTTGGTAGTAGTAGGTGTCGTTGTAGTCGTTGATGTTGTAGTCACAGTAGTGATTTCCGTTGTAGTTGTAGAAACTATAGTAGTTGTGGCTACTGTAGTCGTGATTGCAGCAGTCGTAGTCATAGCATCAGTTGTCGCAGCTGTAGTTGCTGTAGATGTTACCGAAGGCATTGTAGTTGTAGTAGCTGGTGCAGTTGTAGGTGGAGTCGTGACTGTTGTAGTTGTAGCGGCAGTGGTCGTGAGAGGTGATGCGGTAGTAGTCGTTGGTGTAGCAGTAGTGGTATCGGAGGCAGTTGATTCTGTCGTAGTTGGAGCAGTATTTGTGGGAGATGCCGCCGTGGTAGGAGTCGTGGTGGTCGATGCGGTAGATGTAGTTGGCGGTGGGGTGGTGGTAGATGTGACATCCTGGGATTCAAAGTGTTGCGTATGTACTGCACCTAAGACAAGAATACGTCATTTTAAATACTTTGGAGCATCGCTGAACAATATAGTCCCAAAACAAAATTCTTCTGATATGAAACACATTCAATAACTTAATCTCAACCATTTGTTTTAGCCTTGACCTCACCCCCACAACTCTTGCCCCCACGTCCACACCCACGCCCACGCCCTGACCCACGCCCACACCACACCCACGCCCACGCCCACGCTACGCCCACGCCCAAGCAACACCCACATCCACACCCAGACCCACACCCACGCCCTGACCCACGCCACGCCCACGCCCACGCAACACCCACGCAACACCCACGCCCACGCCCACGCCCACGCCCACGCCCACGCCCACGCCCACGCCCACGCCCACTGCTGTTTTCCTTACCTCTGCGCAGACACAGGTGTCCGCTGGCTGCCGCGACAGGTACGCACACCTCAACAACATCACATGGTCGACGTGTACAAGGATGGGCGCTCTTCTGACAAGAAAAAGCCTTTAGTTTCAGTACAATAATTATCAGAATAAAAACGCCTGCTTAGTTTACAAAATTCTATTAAAATATACCTATAAGATATACTTACTTTGCATCTTTGACGTTCTTAATACTGGACATATTCGTAGTTTTTAATTTTACTGAGTGATAATAATCTGGTGATAACTTTAAGGATAACAATTCATTTTTGCAGTGGCGCGTGTGACCACGTGTCCCAACGGTTTCTGTGTGGTATTGTTTTGTTGATGTGCAAATGAATTGTTCCTTATTTTAGACTTGTTTGCTAAATCAGGACCTACATCATCTTATAAATTGCCAACATAACCTCTGTCTAGTGCATATATCTATTTTTTAATCTCCTTAAACCTGGGGCGGTAGGGTAGCCTAGTGGTTGGTTAAAGCGTTCGCTTGTCCCGCCAAAGACCCGGGCTCGATTCTGCCCCACATGGGTACAATGTGTGAAGCCTATTTCTGGTGTCCCCCGCTGGAATATTGCTAAAAGCGGCGAGAAACCATACTCACTCACTCCTTCACTCACTCACTCACTCACTCACTCACTCACTCACTCACTCAAAGTGCAGAGGTTAAAAATCACGTTGCTGAACGCACACCGGGGCCGAGTGACACTTCCACACATACAGAAAGTGTAATGTGGATGGTGATGCGACGGTTGTAGCCGAAGCCATCGTCCGCTCCTGTCGATGATGTGGGCAGGTCGCACGGACTCACCCCGTCCGTCAAGATTTGAAGGTCGAGGTTTTCCATGAAGTATCAGGCACCCACGTACATACACATCATAAAGATCCAGCTACCTGTTCACTGACATTTATAGATGAACCTACTCGGTTAGGCTGATGATGAAAGGTATACGCGAATATTGAATAAAGTAAACTACGGTTATCACGAACACGCATATAACGAACCGGCGGATATAACGAATTTATTTTTTAGTCCCGGCCATTCGCTGTATATATGCTGCATATATGCTTATAACGAACTACGGTTATAACGAACTAAAATAAGCAGTCCCTTTGAGTTCGTTTTAACCGTAGTTTACTGTATATTTAACAGACAAAGGAGATAAACTTTCCGTGCACTTTGGAAACGAGTTGAACAATCAGGTAATTTGAATGATGGAGGGCATGGACCAAGCTTCACAACTGAATTTCCATTAGGTAATTCATTGGAGCTTGTGAACCAAGCAGCTGGCGTCGATGGTGTAGTTGTCACTCAACCATAACATGTAAAACATGTACAGACAAAACAAAAAGTGTCTGAGCAATTAATTAGTATCACTGAGCTGTGCGCGTTCATTGTACGTTCGTCTCTCATGAACATACAATAACTGAGTTCAAGCGCTCTCTCGTGGACAGAAAGCACTTTGAAATGACTGCAATGTCAGACTCCTATTCCTCCAGGGAATAGTTGTCAAACAGCATTGAAAACTAACACTGTTCTGGATCCTTTGTACAAGAACCTCGAGTACGTATTAGCCCCAAATTCAATTCAATCAACTTCAGCTATGTTAGTCCGACTTTTTAAATGATCACGGTGCGCCTCTTCTTTCTGAATCCATTTTGCTCCTCAACAACGAGATTATTTTCATCAGCCTGACAAGAGAGTCTGCCGTTCGGTGAGTGAGTGTGGTTTTACGCCACTTTTAGCATTATTCCAGCAATAACACGGCGGGGGAAACCAGAAATGGGCTTCACACATTGTACCCATGTCGGGAATCGAACCCGGGTCTTCGGCGTGACGTGAGAAGGCTTTAACCACTAGGCTACCCGACCGTCCCTTGCCGTTCAGAACATGGCAATATATCTTATATACACATGATGTCAATGTTATATCCCGGTACAGCAGAGGGTCTCTCTTGTCCTTGGTATCTGGCGGACTGGTTTAATGATACATCGACTCCAGAGTATGCGGGTTCGTCCACTGACATAACACATATTCAGGAACTTTTTAGAGAAAAGGTAGAACACTCGGGATTGTAAGAATTGCTGTATGAAGCTCGTTCTACTGCTTCAGCATTCTGCAGGGATCTATGCTGGGACCACTGTTATTTATCGTTGATATTAATGATATTGTTGAAGGAATAAATAGTAATATATTCCCTGTTGTTGACGATACATCAATATATGTCATCATGGATGATCCAGTTACAGTAGCCACATGCATTTATAATGATTTGGTTAAAATTTTACACTGGGCCAACAAATCGAAAGTAGTTATGGGATTCAACGATAATAAACATATCATACATCCGAAAAGCCAGCCCGGTAATAGGCCGTTATTACGTATGAAGGCATAAGCATTTGTGTAGGACTTCAAAATGACGGGGGCACGGGTGGCCCAGTCGTCTAAGGCGCCGCCATTCGCTGTGCAGAGTTGCGTCCCTTCGGCACGCCAGAAACCTATGATTGTGGGTTCGAATCCCGGGTCGCCGCGATAATGTTTCTAGGTTTGTCAGCACCATACCCATGCTCGTGGGTTTCACCGAAGTGGTAAACGTCTGAGACCTGCATCACTTCGGGCTTTCCTCCCACATTAAGCTGACACGCCGTGATATAACTGGAATACTGTTAAAAGCGGCGTTAAAGCCAACTCACTCACTCACTTCAGAGTGACAGTTCATGGGAAATGCATATCGATGATATTGTCAAAAAAGTACGTCCCGTGATCAGGAGTTTAAAATACAGGTCATCCAGAAAAAAACTCTAGAGATAATTAAGAGGTAAGCCTAAGTGTAGGACCCAAAGCTGTGCAAACTTTTTTCTTTCTAAGATTACACTGTGGAACGCCCTTCCCGATAACTTTATTAATGCTAGCTTATTGAGGAAATTTAGCACTCTAATCAATGGCCCTAACACTACAAATAAATATGTATGCTTAAAATTCGGTTCTAGATTCTGTCAAATTATTCATTATCGCCTCTGGCTCGGCTGCACCGACTTAAACGCTCATAGATTTTATCGACATGTATCAGATCAGATTGCAAGTGTGGGCTCATTTCCAAGATGCTCTACATTTTCTATGCAAATATTAGAAATAATGTGTATTTTTACTTCCATTGATAAAACCCGAAAAGCAGTTTATAAGGCAGTTATTCATTCAGTGACGCAATCACCACGGACATTCTAAAATCAGATTTTATTGTAAAAAGTAAAAGATGTGAATAGTAGTTATACTAATCTAAGGGGCGGTCGGGTAGCCTAGTGGTTAAAGCGTTCGCTCGTCACATTGAAGACCCGGTTCGATTCCCGACATGGGTACAATGTGTGAAGCCCATTTCTGGTGTCCTCCGCCGTGATATTGCTGGAATATTGCTAAACGCGGTGTAAAACCATACTCACTCACTATAATATTCTAAGTACATTTTGGATGAAATATTAAAATTTAGATACAGCGTTCCTCGGACACCATTAGCTTAAACTTACTGCTACAGATTAGGGTTATGTATTGTACTTATATATTCAACGGAAACATGTTTATTTAAAGTTACCTACTGCAATCTGTTTTGTCTGGCGCGGTATGTATATAAGCTTGTTTACAAATACAGATTTCGTTTATGAAATATAAATATGTTCCAACCAATCACTTCAAACACACAACTTAGAAAACATCTCACATGCAACATTGCCGACACGACCAGTTCAAACAAATACTCAAAAACACGGACTTCATTGATAATATGGTCCACATAAATAACATTCTCAGCTCAGTAAATACATAACATTTTTTGTAGAATTTGGGAACACGTTGATACAAAATACCGATCATTCTATTATTGTCTCAAAATTTCATTATTATTATCATTATTTTTTTGACAAACATCAACGGAAATGTTCAACGAAAATAACCAAATGGCATTCATGTGCAGCGCATTTGTACACTACAGCATCTAAGAATAAGACCAGAGGAACCGCGGAGAAACACATACCAGTTCACGGGGTGCCCGAGCGTCCGAGTACACACGATGCTGACTGAGGGAGAAGGGGTCAGGTGAGGTGTCCCTGGTGTCTCTGCTGAGCTGACACGACCCTGTCCCTCTAACCCAGGTGTAGGCCCTGCAGGAGGTGTAGTACCAACACAGACGATGACACAGCTTTACAAGGGGGACGCGAGACGTTTTGAAGACTCCAGACTCATGTCCTGAGTTCTGTCCATTACCTAGAGCTACCATCACCAGCATGTACGGAATCGCCAATAACACATTCATAGCTTTGGTCATGTTTCAGTCTTGTTTAAGAACACCACATTGCAATGAGCTATAACAGAGAAACTGACACGGTAACGTGAGATTCACATCTGTCAGGGCAACGATAGCCTTTTAACCTGATCGATTTAATAAAATGTTATATATTTTTAGCAGCGGGTTTGGTTATTGGTAAAAAACTAACAGCTCCTCTAGTGAAAGTCGAGTGTGGAACACCTGCTGCAATTTGCAAATTGCACCATGATCGGCTGTGCGTGATCGTGAGACGGAACTTCACAATAAGCACTAAATATAATAATGCAACATACGCTTAAGTTAACTGTCGCATCTAGTGTGTGATATCCAACTATTTTTTTATTTTTATTTTTTTATTATTTTTGAAATTATTTTTTATACTTTTTTTATTACTTAAACTAGGGTCCCTACACAGGTGTCATCAAATGAGAACTGTTCACAATAGCTCAGCATAACCTATTTATTATGATTACATTAGAATGCATTAGCAATAAACACATAGTCTATAACACGAGCGTCATACAAAAAGAAAGTAAGGGATCGAACCCGCAGAGTACTTTAGCAAATAGAATGTGCGTTCGGTTTTTTTCCTAAAGGGCGATAACTCTCCTTTTGAAACGATATAAGCGACTGCCTGGCTTCCTTTTCAATGTGCGCTGCGACATCTTGTGACATGTAGAGACAGAGCCGAGTTAAACCGGTTCCCTGTTACACTTTAATTTAAATGTTGTGATTTTGAGTTGGGAGCAGCAACATTTGTTCAGTGTAAAACTAAAATATACGTGATGGAAGGTATGGGAAAACGCTATGACAAACCATGTGTTGCCCTGGTCTTTTCGGGAAAACAACGACACAGTATCGTTCAATCTAGGGTAACATTGCACCGTTGAAACATGCAAAGATTTATTTATCAGACTTTGTGATTTCCCGCAGAAAGCCTTTAACTACTGCGGGATGCAAGTGAGGTCACGGGTGGCCCAGTCGTCGAAGGCGCCGCCATTCGCTGTGCAGAGTTGCGTCCCTTGGGAACGCCAGAAACCTATAATTGTGGGTTCGAATCCCGGTTGGCCCCGATTATGTTTCTAGGTTTGTCAGCACCATACCCGTGCTCGTGGGTTTCACCGAAGTGGTAAACGTCTGAAACCTGCATCACTTGTGGCTTTCCAATTACATTAAGCTGACACGCCGTGTTATAACTTGAACACTGTTAAAAGGGGCGTTAAACGTCACTCACTCACTCACTCACTCACTCACTCACAAGCCTGTATGACAAGAGGATGACTTCAACGTTATACCGACCAATATTCCTGCAGCTCCAGTTTTATGGTGGACATGTGGAGGACATTTCTATATTTGCATCAGTGACAAATATTATTTCCGATGCAAATTCCTTTTTTGACTTGGTTCCCGTGTTTTCTTCAGTTGAACAATTTACGTGACTTTGCATGTGTTTGTGACGGGTGCCACCGGTTGGGCAGGATACGTTAACCTTTTTGCAAACACCTGATAGTGATTCACAAACACAAGCTCGTGATACAGGAACCGTACAATCGACTCTGTTTTGGACAGATATTTCTTATGAATATGGAAAGGATTTTGTCGCTTGATCACATGATACATGATACTAGTGAGTGAGTGAGTATGGTTTTACGCCGCTTTTAGAAATATTCCAGCTATATCACGGCGGGGGACACATGATACTAGAGGAATATCCAGTGATATAAGTAAGAGACCGACCTTTAAATGTACGGCAGAGAGTTATAATAGTTTAAGCATGTACATTCCACAAAATATACTAAACAGAAAAAGTTATGGATCATGAATATTTTTTGGGATATTTTAGGTTGTGAAGACTGAGCACACAATTTCAAATAAATATCCCCAAAAACATATTGATCCCTAATCTTTCTTCTTGGGTACATTTGGACGTAAATCCTGCTGGGGTATCATGCAGGAAGCCAAGGAACTGTAAGTCCCCATGATCCCCAGCGAGGTGACCTAGCTTTGGTAACTGGTGACCTATAGCCCGTGTTTTAAAACTGTATTATATTGTTATGTTCAAATATGTTTCATAAATTGTTTTTAAAAATAGTATTCATGAATTGATTTTAAATATTATTGTGCATAGATGACTCAATTGTTAACATATTAAACTTGGTCTCGTCGCTATATGTCTGGAATAATGCCGATACGACGTTAAATTTGAATTCACTCTTGAATATTTGAACATAATCCTAGGTTCTGTCATTCTTGCCCACCCCGTCACTGAGATCGTTCCCCAGAACTCTTTCTTCGCGTCGTAAGAGGTCACTAATTGAATCGGGAGGTCAGATTTGGTCCCTTGGTTGATTGCCTTAGTATCAAGTTGTTCATACTATCAACCACTGGTTTGGTTTCTTGTCATAGTATCAAGTTGTTCATACTATCAACCACTGGTTTGGTTTCTTGTCATAGTATCAAGTTGTTCATACTATCAACCACTTGTTTGGTTTCTTGTCATAGTATCAAGTTGTTCATACTATCAACCACTGGTTTGGTTTCTTGTCATAGTATCAAGTTGTTCATACTATCAACCACTGGTTTGGTTTCTTGTCATAGTATCAAGTTGTTCATACTATCAACCACTGCTTCGTCTGACATATTGTAAAATGCAGCCGTGATACAGTTGGAATATTACAGCGGCGTCAATCAACAAAACAAAAACTAAATTAACAAATTAAAAATACTTACTACATGTCATGTACTGTTCCTTTATAATGTTAATTGTTGATGTCATCAATTATGACGTCATACGTCCGCTTTGGGTAAAAGCCACAGCATTATATTTGACTGGCATTTCAATATAAAGTCATCACACAACCACATACGTCTACGCTACACATAACCATACGCTTTTAGAATCACGCACATA